AAAAAAAAAAAAAACCTAAAGCCTATTTGTGTAGGATAGGAGAGAAAATAAGTTAAATTGATTTAATAATAACATTTAAGCAAAATTAAAGACTGTCAAAGTGAAAGAAAATTGAAGAAGTCATTTTGCAAGCAACATGGGCTTTATTAGAACTGTTTTGTCAAATGGATCCCCTTTGTTATGATACAGGATGAGGAAGAACAGGATATATAAGCTACTTAGGACATTAAGAAACATACCTTAATATCTTACTACCATCAAGGCAACTAGATTTCAGACTTCAAAGGGACATAGAGACCATATCACTTGTATAGGCAGTGGGCAAGAGGGGGTAGATTGAGAAAAGACACAGTAATGATATAATGGTCTTATTGAAAAGTGTGTGTGGAAATTCAGGAGACAATGCCAATGTAAGATAGAAAGAAAAGAACCCCTAAATAATTTAAATATATACTTTTCACAAAATAGATTTCTCACCATGTTACAAAATTACTTAAAATGTGTAGAAGGCAATAATACAATGTATCATTTTACTACTATATACTAATGTATACAATATACTAATATACAATATATTAGTATACTAATTTAAAATACTTTTAGAAGAATCTTACTTTTCTATGCATATTTACAACTATTATGCTGTTTTTGGAGTACCTATAGAATTGCACCAAAATTATTTCAATATAATGTGTACCTGGAGAACTTAAATAATATCCTCAATTGCATAAAATGAGGTTTATGCAACTTCATTTGCATAAAATGAACAGGTTTTTTTTAATAATTTTGATGAAATCGATTCTGTTTAAACTTCCCTCTCGATAAAGTAGTTTGTATAATATAGTTCTATAGATGCTTCTGAAACTTAGGCTTTTTTTCTTCTTTATTTGTTTGTCTACTCAGCTACATCCCCAGCTCACTTTTCAGAAGTTTTCACTACAAATTTTCTATTTGCAATAGCACATTCAATAGGACTTTCAGGAGATAAAGAGCTAGGACAGAACCCTCCATGGTCTGGGGCTCTCCCACACATGGCAGGACATCCAGCACAGCCCCGCCTGCTGACAGCAGCAAGCACAGAGTTATCCAGACACCTCCCTACGGATGGTACTAACCCCAGGAGTGACGACAGTCATGGGCTGATCAAACTGCCTGCCATACAGGCAATCTGGACAGACGTGCTGTCTGGTTGCAAAAGCAGGAAACCCAGGATGCCGAAGTGCTGATTCACTGTGAGGTCCTCTGTGCTCATGGGAATCCCTGCTCACCCACCCCGAGTGATAGCATCCTGGCCCAGACCACCCCCAGCTGTGGCCTTAGTCTTCTTTGCCATGCCGTTGTCTTTAATCACCCCTCAGCCCTGCCGCCCTTTTTGTGATTAAGCTGCCATAAGCTGAGGAACCCGCCTGGAGCCTGCTGTCACATTCTTACTTTTGGAAACAAAATTAATAACACACCACATGGCATTACTTGAAGAACTTGTCCTGGAGCAGTTGGTGGGCCAGAGCCTCTGCTCTCAGATGTGCTGCCCCACCCAAGTGCAGTTCAAAGGCAGGGCCAGCAGGGCCGCTCGGAGCTGCCTGTGCTTCCTTGTGGGCACTGCCACAGGCAATATGCACAGCAGCACCCGAGCCCACCTCCCCCGGCTTCCAGGAGGCTCTGTCATCTGGGGAGCAGCTGAGCACATTCCTGCAGAGCAGGGGTGGAAGGGAAGCAGGAAGAGAGTGTCTTGGCAGGAGAGAAGATGAGGGAGAGAAGAGGCAGGGTAACCAGAGCCATAGGATGAAGACCTGTTACATACAGCGGTGTCCATCCGGTCTCGCTCTTGTTTCCCCCTGCCACGGGTTTCCCCACAGACTCTTCCTAAATATGCCAGTGATGGCTGCAAGATTCAGTCTGAGTGGAAGCTCAGCTCCACCAGCCATGCCTCCAGCCTGAGTGATGACCTACAGATTGCTTTTCTTTTTTTCCCCTCATCTTTGGGATTTGGAGCATCCTCCAGAGTTGCAAAAGCTGCCTTGTTGCAGACCCTGTCTGAAGGGCTAGCTGTCTGCCTACCGGCCCCCTGCTACTGGGAACTGCGGTGTAGCCATCCAGCGTGGCAGAGACCACCTGGAATCCGGAAATTACCCGCAGCCCTGCTTTGCTCCTGCTCATTAACAGCAGTTGACAGAGCACCTAAAGCATTCTGGGAATTGTATGGCTGCTGTTTCTCCAACAGCTCCTTAAAGGCAATGGACAGAAAACATGGACCGAGTTTTGCCAGAGTCCAAAAGGATGGTGGCTGCTGTTGCCAATTATTGGCATTTCCACAGGACCGTATTTTTATTTCTAGGTATATTTGCACAGCTAGGAAGCATCTGCTGACAAGGATGAGATGATAAGCTGTGCTGGTGCCAAAACAGGATTAGCAAAACAGGCTTATTCTGAGAATGACCCGCATCCTGAGAGTCCATGTGAAGAATGTTCTCTCTCCATAGGCAATATCTGCTCTCAAAATTTTAACACTTGAAAGGAAATCAGGCCTGGAGTCCCCATCAAATAGCACAGTGATACAAACAGTAGGGTCTCAGTAACTGCTTGCTGGGTGATGGAACCCACGCACACACGCACATGGAAGAAGACTGGAAATTGGCAGCCCTAGGCAAGCTTGGTTCGCCAGTGTCTGAGTGCCACATCTTTCACCTCCACTGGAAAGAGCGTCATAATGCTGGCCTTTAGATGACGGGGGTTTCAGCCCTGCTGGGCACACAGTAGGGAGAGAAAGGACAAACAAAGTTCACCTCCTTGGACAGGAATCCTCCACGCTGTTTGATCTTTGATCCTAGAGTTTCCTTAAACAAGAAAGGGATGATTGAGGAATGAGGCCAGAATCCTGGGTGGTAAGCAAAAAGGAAATTGGTAGAAATTGCATCATTCAAGTTGGACTAACTCAGCTTTGTGGCCTGGGCAGGTTCCCAGGATATCCAGCCCATGGCAGGACCTCTAGGAGATGAGGCTGGAGTCTGGATGATGACACACAGGTCAGAACTCGTGAGGCAGAGCCAGTAGGGAGCTCAGCAGAGGCGTGCCCAACCCCAAGCCACCGCGGCACACCTCCCTGTTCCCCGCCACCTCTACGTCAACCCACAGCCACTGGATATTTGCCCATCTTTCTGATGGATACATTCTATCTCTGCCAGCAGCCCACACAGAACCAAAGTGAAGCAATCTAGCAATTTCTTTCTCAGCCTACTGCCTGTCTGCTGCTTTCTTATTCTGACCTATTTGCTTTGGGTCGGTATGCATCAAGATGCCAAAAGCTATATCTTTCTGTTCAAAGGAATGGGACTGAGACCCCAGTCACTCTGGTTTTGTTGTTGTTGTTTTGTTTTAAACCATAGCCATTTTCCATTTGGGGCAGTTACAATTCTGTGTACTATGAGTTCTACCTATTCTCTTCATTCCCACCCCACAGGCTGTGTTGTATGGGCAGTAACTTGTCACCACATTACCAGTATATACTGGGGATGGGTAAATGTGAGAGCCTTTATTTTGACAACAGAGGGATGAGGTGAGGAGACTCACGGTGTGAAATGACCCAGTGGACTGAGTAGAGGTAGACCAAAAAGTGTTGCTACATATTCATAACCTGGAGAGAAATACTGTGCCGCCGATGATGCTTGTAAGGTGCTATGACTAGGCAGGAGGATCTTCTTCCTGGAGATTTCAGTTGGTAGAGTCCGTCCCTGTGCTCCCAAGACAAGCGGGCTCCGTCCTGCCCTCCTCTCGCTCTCAGAAGTCCCCGCTTCCTTGTCACTCACCTTCCTCCCATCCTGGGGCTGAGCTCACAACTTACTGGACAGTTAGGATTCTTTTTGTTGCAAGTGACAGAAATCCAGCTCACATTCCATTAATCCAAGAGACAATTGCTTGAGTCGTGTGTTAGGAAGGATTTTATAAAAGCTCAAACGTATAATGGAAAATATGTAAGAATTAGGGCCTTGTGGCTGAATCTGAACTCTCTCTGCCTCCTCCATAGATAGAACTCTAAGCTCTCCTTGCTGTTGCTCAGCTCTTTCTGCAGAAGGAGATGCATGTGTTGGGAAGAGAGCCATCCAGGGTCCTGGTCAATATTCTCATCTCCCAGCCTAGCAACCTGAGAGGAAAGAGTTGCTGGCTCACAACCTCTATGTACAGTCCCAGAAGAGGGCTCTTATTGTCCAGCTTGGGACTAGCTGTGTCTAGAACAGAATGCCATGGTGACCTGGGATTCAGTCCCAAGCCTACCTGTGGCACAGACTACAGAAGGGAAGGAGAGAACAAGCATGTCAGGCAGTAGACACAGCTCTTCCCAAGGTCCTCTATACCCACCCATATTGTAATCTTTTCAGCTAAAGCTCAGAAATGCTTAGGCCACAAACCTCACCAGAAACACAGAAGCAAAATAAATCCTACCTAAGAAAATCACCTCCAATGACTTATCCAATTACTCATCACTGTCTTGAGACTCACCCCTGGCTCCTGAGAGAGAGTCTACCTTATTACCACATGTGGGGCCGGCAGATCGGGTGCATTCTAGCTCTGCTCCATACTGTTTGAGGTATCTTGGCAATTTCATTCACCTCCCTCCCCAAAAAGGAATAATAATGGTTTCTCCCTAGAGTTATGGTCAGGATTAAATTGTCAGTTCATGTTGATCGGTCTTGGTCAGATAGATCCAAGAAAGGATGGCCAATATTCTCACTATGGCCCCAAGACTAACATTTCTTCTCTGGGAATCCTGGCTGAGATATAGGGGCCCACACTGACTTCTCGAGGCTCCCAGACACACATGCTCATTGAGAATTTCACTGAATTGTTTGGTTTCAAATGGGTCCAGAATGTCCCCCTGCTTTCCTGCTGTGCAGGGAAGGTCCCTGGCTCTGGTTATGTCCCAGGGATGCTTCCGGTCTCTAGACCTTGTCCTCTTTGAGTCGTTCTCTCTCTTTCTCGCTCTCTCTCTTCCTCTGCACATTCAGGAGTGTACACCTTTCTGTCCAGCACCTTGAAGTCTCTGGAAGAGAAGGACCATATCCACCGGGTCCTGGACAAGATCACAGACACTTTGATCCACCTGATGGCCAAAGCAGGCCTGACTCTGCAGCAGCAGCATCGCCGCCTGGCTCAGCTCCTCCTCATCCTCTCCCACATCCGGCACATGAGGTGAGGCATCCTTGGGGTCCCACAGCAGAGACATGAAGAGAGCTCATCGAACCCCTGTGATAGCTAGTCCAGGAAAGGCCTCCTGCCTGTGTATGGAGGGTGCCCTTGGAACAGCTCCCACACATCATAAGCTAGTGCCATGGGAGAATAGAAGAGGGAGGCATTGTCTCTGTCTGGGGCATGGGGCAAATGTTGGACAGGGCTTTCTACTTGGTTGGAAGCACAGGCAGGGTCCTATAGCATTGCGGGAAGAAGCTGATCAAAGGAAATGGGTGATTTGAACCTCCTCTGAAGGCACTGGGAGTATCCCTTAGAGTTCCTGTGATGTGCTTCCCCCACTTAACACTGAAAAGCCTTAACTTAAGACACTAGCTAGCCGGATGCCTCTTGGAGAGTAACACTGACTCCACACCTTCTTGTCACCTCCCTTCCACTACCCTTTCCCATGATGAAGCTGGAGTGATCAGTCTAAAATCAAGTCAGATAATGTCGTCTCCCTGCTTAAAACCTTTGAGAGGCTTCCCATGGCTTTTAGATGAAGATGTAAGTCTTCATTTTCTTTATGTTATTCCATGTGGGCCCTATGTAATTCACTGGGATCTGGTCATTGTCTGAGCCTGTAGTGCTCTATGAGTCATCTGGAGGCTCCACTGCAGCTGCAGGTTGGCTGGGCAGCTCTGTGCATCTCAGTGGGGCTCATTTCCACATCTGCAGGGCCACAGGTTGGCTTCAAGCTGCAGACCCACGGGTTGGCCAGCTTACTCTGTTTTTCCTGTCTCCAGTCTCATCCTCCTTGTACACACAGGTTAGCTGGGACATATTCTCTTCACAATAGCAGAGGCACAAGTAAACAAGGCCATTTGGGCAACTTCATTTGGATCATTTGGTTATATCATGTCTAACATGCCATTACCTAAGCAAGTCAGATGGTAAATCCCAAGGCCAAGGATCATGGACACAGGGCAGGGGAATGGATATTAAAGAACATTAATCAGACCTATCATCACTTAGATGTCACTCCTTGCAAAAGCACCTACTGACTGTGAAGACCTACTTGGAACTTATGCCCTGTTTTTCCCTATTGTAACTGTCCGTTTTATTATCTTTCTGCCTCATTAGTCTGTAGATTCTGTGGGGCGCTCATCACAATCTGTCTTGATTACTCTGTTTACCCAATTCAACCTAGCATAGTGCTGGGCACATAGTAAATATTCAAAAAAATATTTTCTAGACAAGCCAAGGAAGGACATTAGCAGAGGAAATGTAATCTTTCAATGCCATAGGTGAAAGTGGCCTCAACTGCATTCTAAATAATCATGAATTTGGCTGGCCACAAGCTTAGTGGATATCATGCACAGCTCAGCTTACAGAAAAGAGATGAAAAAATAATAGATTCTTTACTGCAGACTCCAGAAAGCCCACAATAATGATAATAATCTGGAGTGGTGATACTAGAGGGGCAGATACCCTGGGGTTACTACATGACACTGAGCTTACACCAAGTCCAAGTCCCTAAGAATTGAAAAGAGATCGCTTCTTTAAGTAGGTATGGGGAAAAGACCAGAGTATCCAAAGGGGTGGGATAAGATAATTTAAGTAGTCTTCAAGTCTTGAGCTTTGTGATTCAAATGGCAAGAAGTTTGTCTCATGAAAGACCCAGGTGTCACCATTCCTGGAGGCAATCTTACAAAATTGTTAGTTTCTTATGATCATAGAAATAATGTTTTCCCTTTGTATCCTGCAGAGTTCTAGATATGGAACTTGACATATATAGTAGTATGTGCTCACAACCTTATTATTGATTAAATGAATGATAAAGGAGGGGATGAATCAGTGGCTCAGTGACTCATGGCATGTTTTTCCCTGTCCTGTGAACTTGAAATTCACGAGCAGAGGCTGCCACGTGGCAGTGACTGGGAGAAACTAGTTGCAATCTGTCTTCTCACAGTGCCCCGAGAATCCCTGTGTAACAGGCCAGGGACTCAGGCTGCTGCGTAGAGGAGGAGCCTGCTTCAGAGCAAACATTTCCAATCCTTTCCTGTCTTTTCCTTTGATGAATCTCCTAGAGAGGAAAACAGAGAACGGATCTGAGTAACATAGCCACAGCCAAATTACCTGGCTGTGCGCGTGCGCTTTCCCTCAAAGAGAACCTGCTAGCTCTTCCTCCAAGCTGGGGACTTCAGCGAGGTTGCAGAAATCAGGTGGCACCCAGGGATGCTTTCCTTTTCTTGTTAGGAATTGCTGACTTCGCAGATGCACTAACTGCTTGCCTGCATTAACAAGCCCAATTAGTTACTGATAATACCAAGAATACCTACACTAAATATTTAACCCTGGTTGATTTTACTGCCAATGTACAGTAGAGGTCTTAGAAGCTTGTAGTTTCTTTTGGAATTGTGTGAAAAACCAGAGAGAATTTGCAGCTCTTTAGAAAACTTGAGGCATTTTCTCTACTCCTATTCCTTTCTGTCTCTGTTTCTCTCTGTGTATTTTTTGTCTTTCTCTGTCTTTGTCTCTCTCACACACAAATACACACACACACACACACACACACACACACACACACACACGTATTTTGGTACCTCACTATGGCCAGTCTAAATCATAGAACTGTTTTATTAAGCTTGGCCCCAGCCATATGTTCCTACTCAGAGACTTTAGCACCGTATTTCATCTGATTGTAAATGTGATTCATTAGGGGGCACAAGGGAGACACCGCCAGACCCAAGGGGCATTTAACTTTAACAGCATTTTAAATTAAAAAGCAAAGCAAAAACAAAATAACACTTAAACACGTGATTGAGGTTGGCCTGCAGTCCTGAAGGGCTCTGGGCTGTGTTTGTATGGCAGTGCTCCAACTTGTGCTGGCTTTCCCCTGGCCAGGAATACAGATCCTTGCTAGGACATTCTCGTGGTCCTGCCTCCTCTTGGCACAGGCTTCTTCTTAAGAAGTTTCTGGTTACATAGTGGTTATTGTCTTCCCATCCCCATCCTGGGTTGTGTTAGGGACAGAGCAGAACCCTGGCTGATAGAGAAGGGCAGAGGAGGAGCATGGGAAAAATTCCATGCGCCTACATTTCTCTCCTCCTGTTTATCCCCTGTTTGCAGGACATTTACCAAGTTCTCGGTACTGTTCTGGCTACAGTGGAGAACAGGGTGAACGAATCCTTGCCCTTGCTGGAACTTGCACAGTATGTGCTGGTTTGTGTGTGTGCGCGTGTGTGTGCTTGGAGTTGAGAAGAACAAACACACATAAATTCAAAGCAGAATTCCACCAAGAAGTGGGTTAGGGCAAAAGGGATGATGTGGAAGACAGCGGCTGAGGCTGCAGGGGCCTGAGACCCTGGGCACAGGCTAGCAGGGGCCTCTCAGAGGAGGTGGCGTTTGAGGACCTGGGAGCAACACACCCAGGCTGAGGAACCACCGTGTCCAGACCCCCTGACTCTGGGAGAGCTCAGTTCCTGTAAGAAGCAGGAAGCGTGGCTAAGGAGAATGAATGAGGGATGCCAGGTAGGACCAGCTTGTCAAGGGAGACGGAGGCAGGTCAGGTGGGCTGGGGAGAATATGGGCAGGACTTCCCATTTTCTTCTGATTTTGACTGAAATGTACTGAAAGGTTTCTGTGATGGAGTTTCTTGAACTGCCTCACATATTTGAAAACCTCCCTCCTCCTGGCTGCATACCTCAGGTTCTCATTTTAGATGTCATGGTGATAGAGGAGAGCAGGGCCTGGTGGCAGAGTGCTGGAGGGAGAGTGTGTGAGGGTGCCACTGCCCTTACAGAGGTGTGACTTGGAAACCACACGGAGGTGAGTCCCAGACTATAGTCTCTGAAGCCCCTTGGTCTTCGTCAGATGCCATCCCAAAATGGATCTTCATGTAGGAAGGAAGATTGCATTGTCCTTGGAGTTTCTTGTACTTCCACTTGCTAGGACTTCGGGCCATTCTGAGGCTGGGTCGGGTCTAATGGGGTCCTCTCTGTGTCCTCTACAGTAACAAAGGCATGGAACATCTGTACAGCATGAAGTGCAAGAACGTGGTGCCCCTGTACGACCTGCTGCTGGAGATGCTGGAGGCCCATCGCCTGAATACGCCCTCCAGCTCCATGGGCGGGTCCTCAGAGGAGCCCAACCAGAGCCAGCTGGCCACCATGGGCTCCTCTTCAGCACATTCCTTGCAAACATACTACATCACCCAGGAAGCAGAGAATTTCCCCAGCACAGTCTGAGAGCTCCTGGCCTCCCCAAGGTTCTGAGAATCCCTGCAGCCTTGTATCTGTCATGCGTCAGTTTAGCAGAACCCTGTCTCCTGCGCACACTCCAGCATGCACCCACTGCCAGTGGCTTTCTAGTAAGAGTGGCCATTCGTTTGCTTGCTCAGTTCTTAGTGACCTGTCTCCTGCTGGGAACAGCCAGAGGGATTCCAGGGCTACATCTTGGTAACAGCTCCCTTTCCCCCTTTGCAACATTATGAGAATGAGGATTCCTGTGGCTCTTCACGACTGAACTCAGCCTATGAGATGACTGCATTGAAGCTACTCATTGAGACCCAGGCCTGGAGAATAGACATTTCACCTCTGCTAAGCACTTTGTAATGGCTCCAAGAATAAGCCTCAGGAAAGAATTTGAAGTGGCTCCTTTAATTGATGACTTGGAGAAAGCTAACTCAAGGGTTTGTTAGAGCATCCTCTTGTATTCCTGTAGTAATGCGCCACTTTGTTGAAGTGATACTTTGGCCTTTTTGCTCCATCGCATGGCTTTAGCACGATATTTGGTGATTGTCTGTTCATTTGCCCTATGAGAATACCAGATGCACACAGGGAAGGAAGATCCCCTAACTGTCAAAAACCGTGGCAATTTAAACACTGAACCTTCAAGTTTGTTCAAGTCTCCACTGCTGGCTTCCCACAGCACTACATGCACAGGTCATGGGTTCCAGGTGATTTTTGCTTCTCAAGAACCTGTGGGAAACAGCAAGTTGATTTCAGTTAAGTCACTCCCGCGTAGACCACTCTCCCCATATAAAGGGCAGGTTTTAGCTTTGGTTTTGTTTTTTTCCCTTTTATAAAAGAAAGCCCTCCACCTCCCGAACTTGAAGCTTTAGGACGTCTTCTTGTGGGGTTTCACACTTACCAGCAGAGGGCGCTCTGCTTGGCGCTTCCTGTGTGGTTTAACCCTGAATTATTCAGAGCGCAGCCATGATCGAGGGCAGTTTAAATGAGCGGGCACACGAGAGGGTTAAGTGAGAGAGAAACTGGAGGAAACTCTATGGCAGGGTCACCCTTGCTCAGGGCGGCCAGATTACAGGCTGCAGGTACCTCACAGATCCTGCGTTGCACAGCAAGGCTGCCCTGGAGTCCACTGAGTGGTCTGCTTCTTGTTCATCCCCATGTGGCGCTGATTGGAAGAAACGCAAGTAGACAACTGAATTCTCAGCCCAGCACATTCCAGGCAGGAGGGCAGGGATTGGAAAACTCCCTCCCTCAGGCTGCCTGGACCTGGTCAGACTATACATGCCCTTGGTTATTCGGAGATCTTCCAAAAATCAGCTAGTGATTTTGGGAAGAAAATATCCCCGCCCCTCAGCCTCACCCCCAGCTCACATCCCTAAATTTCATACGCCAGCGGAATAAGACCAGACTTGGTCTACAAGAATTTTTTGACCAGCGGGCTAAAAAAAGAAAGTATTGGCCCAGCTACAGGGTTGCCTTCCCGGCCTTTGCTTCTCCAGTGCAATTCTGAGTCATTTCCTTTTCTTAATGAAAAAGAAAATTCGGTTTCCTTCCCTGATTTCATGGTCTGTAATTCAAACCCCATCAAGAGGTGAGATAAGAGCCAACAGCCCAGGTGAGCGGCGAGCCTTCTCTCGGTATGTTCTGTTTGGGAAAGTGGATTTCCTTAATTTCTGGTTTCCCAGAGAAGGGACTACCAAAAGACGGGAACCAGGAGGGCCAAAAATTTTTTTAAAAAGGTTTTTTTCATATATGTGCATCTAAATTTGGGGGCAATTTTATATATCTATGCTAAGAATACATTTAAGAACATAATTCTTTTGTTGTTTGTTTTTGAAGCACCTTATATAGTATAATATATATATTTTTTTGAGATTGCATTGCTTGTTTATCAGACAACTGAATGTAATAATTCTTTTCTGGATTTAATTTGACTGGGTTAACGTGCAAAAACCAAGGAAAAATATTTCGTTTTTTGTATACTTTTCAAGCTACCTTGTCATGTATGCAGTTTTGATGCCTGAAGTCTGGTGATTATTCATTTAAATGAAGATCACATTTCATATCAACTTTTGTATCCACAGTAGACAAAATAGCGCTAATCTACATGCCTATTGTTGGATATTGAATGACAGACAATCTTATGTAGCAGAGATTATGCCTGAAAAGGAAAATTATTCAGGGCAGCTAATTTTGCTTTTACCAAAATACCAGTAGTAATATTTTTGGACAGTAGCTAATGGGTCAGTGGGTTCTTTTTAATGTTTGTACTGAGATTTTTCTTTTAAAAAATAAAATAAAAAAGCAACAAAAAAAAACAACCTCTAGGACTATAGATGATGTAATACCAGCTAAATCCAAACAATAATGCAGCAGAAGGTTTTACATTATTCATCTACTGTGTTCGTATTCATGTTAAGGTACTACTACATTTGAAATGGGCAGAGAACATCAGATGGCTGAAATGTTAGCCCAAGAGTTTCAAACATCTTTGGAAATCTCTTTTTGTTCTTATTTGAAGTGCCAATAATGAGCTGCTGATACTTTTCAGCTGATGTTGCTGTAGGGCATAGGGGGCACCCTGGAAATCTGCGCCCCTGATTTTCCTCCACTTTGAGGCAAATGAAGCTTGAAACACACGATCTACTTGGAGGGTTAAGATAGAGTGGGGAAGTGAGTTTGGAAATTTGAAGAATGGGAAATCTGGGAGTAAGACTTTCAAAAGCTTCTGGCACCTGGGGTCTGTACCAGGTTTCAGAATTCCATTTCTGCACTGTATCCAAAATAACTAGCTCCAGTGACTGCCGTTTCCAACATGGCAGCTTGAGTTCTTGAGAAGAAAGAGGCATAGGCAGAGAAGGCCAAAGAATAGCTAGAGGTCTGCGTTTGTAACCATTGCCTAGCTGGCTGCAGTGATTTTGTAATACGATCATGCAGCAATAAGACAGACTAGGTCATCCAAAGAGAAGATCTCCATTGATACAGGTTGCAAAATTCAGCCCCCAAGGAAGTGTAGCTTTTGATTCCCTAGTAGTCTTGCAGATGTCTTTAACCATGCCATATCCTATGCCTTTTGGGGACTGAAAAAGTAAGTGACTTACTGATAATTTACTTTTAATCACATAAAAACGTTCACACTTTGAAATAGTATAAAATCAAATGGTCATTGATTTATAGCACCCTTGCTTCTACATAAAACTAACTACAGATCTCTTCCTGTTCATATTTTCCACCTTTGAGATGGACTGTGGATACTGGGAATGATCGCTAGGACCATAGTAATGTCCAATATTCACAGGCAGATCTGCTTGGGGAAATTAGTTTGTTCAAAGGCAGATAGACATACAGTAGCTTGTTAGGCAATCATGATTCTTTTTGGTGCAAGTCTTGGGCGGTTGATCCAGATTACACTGCACACATTTTAGATTAACCCCCTGAAAATGTACTCATTCTCACCTGGAGGAAATGGATTTAACTGTGGTCCCAAATATCCATCTTTTCATTAGTGTGATTGCGCTCTGTTCCTAGCTTCATTTTTCCATTTAAAGTGTGAGCTCCTCTTAAGTCACTTAAAATTGTTTCCTAAGTAATTGCTGCCTCTATTATGATGCTTCAATTTTTGCACTGTTTTTCAGAGACTCAAAAATTTCTATTCTTTTTGTTTTTTTGTTTTTTCATCCAAATGTGCCTGAACTTTAAAAATATGTAAATGCTGCCATGTTTTAAATTCATCTTTCATGTGTGTGTATGTGTGTACAGAGCTGTGCACCCTGGAAATAACATATAGTCCCATGAGCAGGTGCCTAAGACATAGACCCCTTTGCATTGACAGAGAGGTCATTGGTCATAGAGACTTGAATTAATAAGTGACATTATGCCAGTTTATGTTCTCTCACAGCTTATAAACAATGCTTTTTTGTGCACTACATACTCTTCAGTGTAGAGCTCTTGTTTTTTGGGAAAAGGCTCAAATGCCAAATTGTGTTGGATGGATCCATATGCCCTTCTGCTGATGCTACTATTATTGATGTGATTCCGTTCTGTCACAGCTTTGCTTTGTTTAATGAAACACACTTGTAAACCTCTTTTGCACCTTGAAAATGTAAAGAATCCAGCGGGACACTTGAGCACTTCTAAGCCAATTTTCTCAACCTATTTGATGTTCAAATAAAGAATAAAGACAACAGATTTCATTGCTTGTATGCTCCACTTCTTGCTAAGGGTTCACCACTGATCATGGAACATCAAAATGATCTGAAGAGCTGAAGAAAGCTGGGTGTGAATGCCAAAACCCTCCCCGCTAAAGGACATCTCCCCAGGGATGGATCCCAGGACATTCCCCTGCCCCAGAGTTGGGACACCGATTGGAAGTAGGCTGAGCCTTAATTTTTCAAAGTTTTAGGCAATTAACTTTCCAAAGTTTCAGCTTATCAATGAGGTGGTGATTGTAACACTTAATTTCGAGAATTGTTGTGAGGGTTAAATGAAGTACTCAATAAAGTAGTTGTCCTCTAATGCTGAATCCCATATCTTTCCCTATAAAGGGAGAAAGCAGAGGCTTGAGAATAATTATTAATAAATGATGGATGAATGGTACAAACCATGTATGTCTACCTTAAAACCCTCTGTCCCATCATGGAAATAAAGCAGAACACTGGTTCATTTCCAGCCCAGAATTCCAGAACAGGACACCCTTTCCTTAACATGAAACTACCTTCATGTTCTCTTTTACCCATATTTTCTATGATAACACCGATAAAACTGGGATGTGATAATACTGAGAGCCTACATCAGATACACGTAGGCTCTGTAACTAGATAACTGGCTGGAATCCTAATTCTTCCAGTCATTATGTGGCCTTGGGCAAGTCAACTTCCCTGTGCCTAAGCTTCTTCACTTGTAGAGTGTATTAGTCTCCTTTTCCTTGCTTCTACAACAAAACATCTGAGACTAGGTAACATTCAGAAAAGAGGTTTTATTAGTTCACCCTTTCGAAGGCTGAAAATCTAAAGAAATGGTGCTGACTTTGATAAATCTTCATGGTGGATGATGAGTGCTATTGTTCGGTCTAAAATGTCCCTAAAATCCCATGTGTTTAGAGGTGGGCTTTTAAAGGGTGCTTAGATCACGGGGGGGAGGGGTTATACTTATCAGTGGATTATTCCACTAATGAATTCATAGTTGAATGTGCTATAGGGGGAGTGCTTGTCAAAAGAGGTGGGTTACTGGGGGTGTAACCTGAAAGGTTGTGTTTTTATACAGTCTTTTCGCTTACTCCCTTCTCTCTCTACTTTTTGGCTGCCATAGGTGAGCAGCTTTTCTTCACCATGCCCTTCTACCATGCCTTGGAACCAGCTAGCCATGGACTGAACTTTCTGAAACTGTGAGCCAAAATTAACCTTTCCTCTTTTAAACTGGGTGTGTTAGGTATTTTGTCTCAGCCATAGGAAAGTGACTAATACAGAGAGTGTGATAAGGATCACATGCTGAGACAGGAAGCTAGAGAGATTTGAGAGGCAAGTTTTGTTCTTTTACAGCAAATCTCCCTTGAGGAAAACAACTGGGATCCTAGGAGAACTGCATTAATCCCTTATGAAGGCAGTGTCCCTAACAGCGTTGCATTAGGCCTACTTCTCTCTCTCTCTCTCTCTCTCTCTCTCTCTCTCTCTCCCTCTCTGTTGGGGATTGATCCTAGGGGTTTTTGCACTGAGCTACATTCCTAGCATTTTATTTTTTTGGAGACAAGGTCTTGATAAGTTGCTAAATGGCCCAGGCTTTTGATCTTCATGCCTCAGCCTCCTAGAGTGCTGGGATTATAGGTGTGCATAATTCTGTATATTTTGTCCCACCTCTTAAAACTTCCACTACGTGATGAGATCACCACATTGAGGACCAAGCTTCCAACACATGATTCCCTGCAGGGTCTGCTCAGACCATATCGGAAACGTAGCATAAAAAGGGAGATAATCATGCCACCTGCCTGGAGGGATTGCTATGAAGGCAACACATGGGCTCAGTCATGCAGAGCATTTAAGGATGATGGCTGACATTTTTTCTCTTTTTTGAGAATCTTCTGGAATTGCATGGTTGACTTCCTTCATTAGGCTTTGTTGGGTTATTTACATATTTGAGTGATATGATTCCAAGAAGATATTTCATTGTCTTATTCTATTACTCATTGGGCAAGCTCTTCCATCCCTTTTCCTTGGTTTTCTCCACTCTAAAATGGAAATCAGAACAGCACTCACACTTATAGGAGTGCTGTGAAGGTTAAAAGAGACCTGCACCTGTGGCACCTGGTACAGGATGAACGTATCTAAGCCTCTATCTCTGTTAGCGATGATGTCTGAAATTACTTTTGTCTTCCCAGAGTGTTTATGTTTAGTAGGATTATTGATGTGTTTGGATTTACATTAGCCATTTTGCTATTTTTTGTCTCCTTTTTCATTCACTCTTTCACCTTATAGCCTTTGTTGTTGTTGTGTTATAGTATAAAAAATATGTAATTGAGCTCTGCCCCAGGTGTGAAGACATAACTCCTAAAAGCCCTGAAGATGATGGTGCCAGGAGATTCTTCCAGTCTGTATCTGGGCTTTGATCTGGTTCCTGACACAAAGCCTCTAAACCCCTTAAAATTTCCAGAGCAATAGAACATCTTTGGTTCTAATCAGGTGACTCTCAGTGGGCTTCCGGTTGGCTTCCGGTGGGGACTGGTTGCCAAGGGAGCTAACCTTGGGGTTAGAAGCTTGGAGTTTTGAGCTGCAACTTCTGAGGAGCGGAGAGGGGGTGAAGGCCGAGTTGGCCACAAATGGCTAAAGGTGTAATCAGTTAGGTGAATGTAATGAAGCTTATTCAGAAGCCCAAGACAGCAGTGCTCAGAGAGTTTCTGGGTAGCAGAACGCGTGGGGTGCCTAGAGTGTGGCACCCCGAGAGAGGCCATGGAAGCTCCATGACTTTCCCTATACCTTGCCTATCCATTTCTTCGTCCATTCTCCTTTATTTTTTACCATATTCTTTATAATAAATCAGCACTGAAGCTGTTCGTCCTTATGTCCTGCCCCGTTCTGGTGCTGACCCTGTGGTGGAGAGTGGAGGTTGGGAGCAGCTCCAGAAAAGAACATCACGAGTTCGCCCTGCACTCACTCAAAGTTCAGCATTTTTTCAAGAATCAACATTCCTTAGGTTATCGTGCAACTTTGGTCAATTCACAGAGTGCTGAAATGGTGGTTTGGTTAGTTTTGTGCAGCCTTCTAATTGCTTTTGGGATCAAGATTCTTCAGTCTCTTTTTTTTTTTTTTTTCCTCTGGTACTGGGAACCGAACTCACGACCTTGCGCTTGCCAGGCAGGCGCTTTTGCCGCTGAGCTAAATCCCCAGCCCCTCTTCAGTCTCTTTATATAGTCACAGTCATGTTTTCTTTCTCCACAACCCTGTCTGAACCACAGTACCCTTCTCAGAACACCAAGAAACAGAGCTGGCTATGTGTGCCAGCTGTTACTTCCACCGGCTAGCAAGTCTTTGTAGGAATATCGATAATCCATAGAACTTGAACTCTTCCCATTGGAGTATGTCAAGGTTCGGAGTATCTATGTGTTGACTGAACTCACACCCTGGCTCAGGATCACGTTCCCCAATGTTGTATGTCCTTAAGCCTCTGGGGATATTTAAAGTCAGAATTATCATGTTTAGATTTGCTTCTCCAAAAATATAGAATGTATTTCCTTGGGGAAGCAAAATTTTCCTAACTCTCATCATTTGGACTCTGTACTTAAGGAGCTAGTTTTGAGTTCACATCCATCGTAGCTTACAATTGCAGAATAGATCTGAGAACAGGGGAGGACAGAGATAAATTTTCTCATGGAACTGCCCACTGATGGCTGGGGGAAGGGTGGGGAGAATTCTCTTGGACCGAAGATACTACTGTGTGGACTGACAGCATCTAAGCCAAGGCATGGTGAAGACTCTCTCTGCAGAAGGAATGTTTGATTTTCCTTTCTATCTTGAGAAAAACCCCACACATACACTTTCAAACACACAAGTTTTTAGGTGTTTTACTGTGCTCCATAGTGACTTCATTCTGTATTTCCTGGTAATCTTAATAGCTCCCCTGTGAGAGTGAAAAATATGATTAACCTTATTTTACAGATGAGAAATGAAGGTTTCACATGGTTAGGTAACTTTCCCAAGGTCAGAAACCTTGTGAGTGGCACACATGGGATGAATCTTCCTGACACTGAAGGTGAGTCAGAAGAACCCCTCTGAGCTCCCTGGGTGTCCCTGGAAGTCACAGAGTATATGTCAGACTGTACTCATGGACCAGACAAAATGCTAACTTTGCATCTCAACAAGCTTCCACATTGTATGAAGAGGAAGCAAAATTCAATGAACTTTTAAGGTAAAATGTGATTCTTCAAAGAAATACACCACCTTGGGCAGGATGTGGAATGCTGTGCCCTTGAAGTTCTGGAGAAATGTGTTTCCCAGCTCCTGCTGGTGGGTGGCCCTTGGGTAGGGCAGCTGGAGGAGGGGGCAGTTATTTCTCTCTGGTCCCTGGCACTTAGTGGGTGTTGTGAGGTAGTGTGAGGTACTCTCCTCCACCTGGTTTCTAACGGAAGCATGAGGTAAGCAAAGGATTTTTGCCTCAAACCTGGGCACATGGTTGCTGATAACCTGCAAGCTTGTGACCCGAGACAAGGACACCCTCACAGCTGCCAGCCCATTTCAGAACCTGACAGTACCAGGCCAGGCTCAGCATCCCAGTAGCCACAAAACAATTTCCTATCTCATGGCCCAGGAACGGGCCACACGGTAACCAAGGCACAGCGCATCTGTGCAGAACTGTTGAAACAGCAGTGTTCATCCTAACTTGATGAGAATGATGAAACCCAAAATAGGAGCCAGGTGGTATTTGGGCAAGCATTTTGAAGAGTAATTTTGAAACTGGGTGGGATAAGTTCGGTGCTGTGCCAGGCAGGACGCAGGGAACGCACTCCCAAGCAGCCAACTCTAGGCCTGGTGCCAAGCTCCAGTCGCCCAGCGCTGTGGGAAGGACAGTGGCCTGAGGCCCGCGTGCGCCCGTGCACTCTGTGTGCTGCGAGTCTTTGCTGCTGCAGCACTGACCTGTCATCAGCCGCCTTTTCATTGAGAAATCATGATTGTGGGAAAGGCCAGGGAAAGGTTTGTGAGCTGGTGAACATTTTTATGGGCTGAGTGAATTCCCAAGTTCACCCTAGACTCTATGGACGTTAAGCTGTAAAGATTCCTGAGTGTTTCCACATTTACAACCAGAGGGAACATGTTTCAAAATCCAGAGCCCCATACCACAGGCAGGAGGGCAGGGGGGCAGGAGAGCAGGGCAGGGACACACACTGCTGACTCTGGGAGCTGTACCTATGTCACTCCCTTCCTTCTGGGACATTGGGTGCAGGCTGGCTTCTGATACATGGTGGGGAATTGTCTCTTTCAAATGGAAGAAGGGCCGGAAGTGCCAAGTGGAGCTTCTATGTGCTTTTGGGAAAGAATGGATTACAACTAGAAAAATGATCCACTAATCATCTTTTAATTTAGTACTATTGCAAAATATACCTAACAATCCTTACGATCCAATCCATTCTGAAAGATAAAGAATTGTACATAAGGTGAATAGCCCTTATTATAAATGCTTGGGACCAGAAACATTTCTGATTTTGGGGGTTTTCAAGCTTTAGAACATTTGCATAGACCTTGGCAGAATGCATTCTAATCCAAAACTTCAAAATCCAGTATGCTCCAAATCCCAAACTTGATGAGCACCATATTGGCACTCAAAAGCTTTCAGACATTGCATTTCAGATTAGCAGCGTTCCACTTGTATGAAAAAAAATATTCTGCAATTTACGAAAAGATAGGAGGTTTGGACAGAGAAGCTTATTTTAATTACTTGGTAATGTGGGCAGCAAATGGCTGAAGGCCAGGATCACTAGACGCTGAGTTCAGGCAGGAAAAAGAACTGAACATAGAAAGACCAGAAACAAAGCTGGCCCTGGGCTCCCTCCTATGGAAGAAGCAGCCATGCTCTAGTCTGGATTGTTTAAAAACACTGGGAAGCCAATGTTAGCGCGTTTACAACCATACAGAAGAATTTATCATCTGCTTTCCGTGATTGCATCGGGGCAGGAAGACAAAGTAGATCTTCTTCCAAATTCCCTGTATCCCATTCCTGTGGAAGTATCCCAGCTGGATGGGCCCCTTTTCCCATCCCTCAAGTCTCCTCTGTCCTTGGAGACTCAAGGTCTCAGCAGCCTCTAGGATTGTTTCAGTCTCTGGGGGAACTACCAGGCTCCCAGGAGAAGAGAGCCGATCCCAAGGACCCAAAACCTTGAACAAACAAGGTTTATCACCTCCCAAATTAAGTCACCCTCCTTCCCACTCCTACAGAGATCTTGGAAGCCACATATGCCTTCTCTTACTGACTGACTGATTACAGAAAACAGGATTATGTGTGTACAATTTTGTTCCTCTTCTCTTTTTCTATCATGAGAACATTAGTGATACTGACAAGCACAGTCCTAATACAATAGTTCAACTCACCATGCTATGCAGTAGATCAAAAAAATTCAAACTTATTTCTCCTATCAAACTGATGCTTTGTCCTCTCTGATAATCCGCTTCCATCTCCACCCGAGCCTCTGATAACCACCTCTGCTGGTGCATTTCTTTGTTTTACTGCCCACTTGTAAGTGAAGACTTGGGTCTACCAGTACCGCCTTCACCAGTGCGGTGCACACAGCCCCTGAGAAAGCAGCTGTGCAGAGAGACCAGGTCCCCGCAGTCCTGATGCTGATGCAAGCAGCTGCGTGAACTGTTGGGGCTGCTGACCTGGCAGGTTCCCCAATTAGGAAATGAGCAACACAACCTGCAGGAAGTGATAGCACAGCCATCTGTATGATTACTCAGGAGAGGCTGTTTCTGAGCTGAAGACAAAGGCTGAAGCCCTCACTGCACTCAAACACAGCTTAGTGGACATGGGGTGGGGGAGTAAAAGGCAGAGGGATGGGGTGCTGAGTAGATGTCCCATGGCCACATATGAGAAGTCCCTGGGAAGCAAGTAGTTGGAAGAGCCACTGATGGTGTCTGTCTTAAGCTCCTCAACCTCAGGCCAGCAAACTTCTGTAAGGCATCAGAGTAGATATTTTAGGCTTTTTATGGTCTCTGCTTTACAACCCTTTGAAAATATCAAAGCTATCCCTAGCTCAAGGGCCTGTCAATACAGGCGCAGGGTGTAGTCCAGCTGTGTAGAAATCTTTAACAGGCAGCATACAGCTGCGTGTCCCCTCTGAGAGGAAAGGAGGAGACAGGAGGAGGCGAGGCCCTGTTGATACACACCTCGGAGGAAGAGAGTTCCTGGAAAGGCACAAACCTGGGAGGATGCCCTGCATTCCCCTGGCTGACACCTGAGCCACCATAGACTGTCAAGACTCACGCAGAGATCTGCCCCATCCTACTGTGCTTCGGGTCAGCAAGCTTGCACTATATACTGATGATTTTGTGAGGAGATAGCCCATGTTATGTAATTTTTTTAAAAAAACCATAGTTTTTAAAAGGTAAAGAATTGCTGAGCATGGTGGTGCATGCCTCTAATCCCAGCACCTGGGGTCTGAGGCAGGAGGATCGCTGCAGGTTCGAGACCAGCCTGGGCTGCATAGTAAATTCAAGGTCATCCTGAACTGCATAGTGAGACCCTGTAAAAAAAAAGAAAACAAAACAAAATAAAACAGAAAAAGGGTTGGGTATACGGCTTAGTGTGAAGTCCCTGGGTTCAATCCTCAGTGCTGCAAAAAAGTAGGTAAAGAATGATTCCAAGAGATTGTCTCCCTAAAACGCTTAGAACACTCATGGGGAAAAGATTTGGTAAACTCTTCCTAGAAACCATTTCTGAAATAAAAAGGAAAGTACAGGAAGTAATAATAGTTCGATGAACTAACACTTACTACTAGACTAGCACTATTTTAACATATTACATACATTAATGTGTATAATCCTCACAGTTACCCCGTGTAGTAGGTACTATTTTTATCCTATTTTACAGAGGAGAAAACTGAGGAACAGAAAGATGAAGACACGTGCTCAAATTACACAGCTGAGAAGTGGCTGAGCTGGGCATTGAATTGGGGTGTTTTGGCTCCAGAGCTTCTCTAAGACTTGGGTAAAATGAGCTGAATGAAAGCCCAGTTCCTTAGCTCCCCATCAGTTCTCCCAGTCTGATTAGTAGACGCCATCGCAGAGGTTGGGGGAGGGGTGGCGCAGTGGGGGTGGGGGACTGGGCCTCCGGCAAAGCCAGGCTAACCAGGCAGCATCTTGAGGGTGGTTGTTGATCGGAGCAGATTTCAAGGCAAAGGCAAAGCAGGTTCATCTCTGGTACCTGTGTCAGTAAAGCACGGCCCGGAGAAAAGCTGCCTATGACCTCCCACTCACAGTCAGAGTCCTCACCATGGCCCACACCAATCACTTCTAAGGATCAGGCCTGATGTCCCCCGTGAGCAGGGTGACTTCTTCTGAGGGTTGGTAGCTTAAGAAGTTTTGCTTTTCTCCTGAACAAATGAATCTTATGTACACACCTCTTCCAGGGAAACTCTTCTCTGGGGGTTGAGTGAATTCCTTGGTCAGCAAGCATCCTTATTTTTTTCCTTCTCCTCCTCCCTCTCCTCTTCCCTTCCTCCTCTCCCTCCTTCCTCTTTCTCCATTCCCGCCCCTTTTCTTCCTCCTCCTCCCCTTCCTCCTCCTTCTAGTACTGAGGCTTGAACTCAAGGGCTTCACACTAAAGTACAACTCCAGTTCTCTTTTTTGTTTGTTTCTCTTTTGAGACAGGGTCCTGCTAAATCGCTAAAGTGCCCAGGCTGAGTTCAAACGTGGGCTCCTTCTGCCTCCCAGAGTACTGAATTACAAACCTGCACCGCCACACCCAGCTGAGCTTCATTACCTTGAATTGGTTGCCACCACTGCTCTTACGTCTTCATCCAACCAAGCATTCAGGATGAGCACCTGTTGTGAAGTCGTCCAGAAGGGTTTTTCTCCGTATGATAAATGACATGTGATCATTTATTTAGCGCCTACCAACACTTTTCCTCTAAATTAAAAAGCAAATCACATGTCATCTCCTTCCAAAGGAGCAGAAGTTTCTTTTCCATTCCCTTTTAAAATTATCATCATTCTTACAGTAATTTGGATCTAAAAGGCATATCATACTCCTGTCAAATTTAAATAACAAAAGTGTTTAAGGTGATTTTTCCACCACGTGATTCCAGTCACAATATTAAGCGTTATGTTTCATTCATGTCTCTTCAACCTCTCCCCTGCCCTGTACAATTAATATATGGACCCGGCTTTTCTTTTAATAAAACTTGGATCTGTTGTGGTTCACATCTAGATATCCCCCCAACACTTCATTCACTCAGCAGCTAGATAAAGATGCACAAGTACACTTACCAAGGATAAACATGAGGACTAAAGTTGTAAAATTCATTTACTATGGCTTTTTGTTAAACAAGTAGATTTTAGCTGCTCCTGTGACACAAAAAATAACAATTTAGGATGACAGAGTGTTAATTTACTTTAGTATAGAAGATGTTATATGTGTCCCACAACATGTTATAAACCTCAAATATACACAAAGTACAGTTTAGTTTTAAAAACACAAGGAAAAAAAAACGGTCCTGAGATATCCAGGATATCTAATGATGAATGACATATGTGTGGGCCAATTATTATAATGTGAAAAATTCACATTACAGAATAAAAATAGCCCTTAATTTAAAAAAAAAAAAAAGGTATGCTGTTTGAGAAAATCAAAAGGCACAGAAAAGTAACATAAAATTAGAAGCTGGGGGCTGGGGAGTTAGCTCAGCGGCACAGCACCTGCCCGACAAGTGCAAGGTCGTGAGTTTGATCCCTGGTACCAGAAAACTGCACCCCCCCAAAAAAGAATGAAATTAGAAGCTGGGCATGGTAGTGCAGACCTATAATCCCAAAACTCTGGGAGGCTGAGGCAGGAGAAGGATCATAAGTTAGAGTTTGAGAACTTGTGGAAAAAACCAAAAAACCAAAAACAAAACAAAAACACCAAACCAAACCAAACAAACAGAATGTTGAGGAAGTAGCTCAGTGTGACGGCTTTGAGTTCAGTTCCCAGTACTGAAACAAAACAAAACTGCAAAATGATCAAGAGATATGAAACTTTCCTTTAGAAAAGAAAAAAATTAGAAACTAAAGTTGTTGTTTTTTTAACAATTAGATTTTAAAATGGACACATGCACAGAGAGAAATGGTGCTTCTCCAAAGATACATGAAAACTTACCTAATATACTGAGTGTATTAATAATTATAATATACATTTTATTATATATTCTATTACTTATATATTTTACTGAATTATATATTATACCTGTATTTTACTGCTGCAATTAATTATGCTACCTACCACCATAATTAAAATAGCAAATGGCCAATGGATCAACAACACACGATAGAGCACAGACTAGAAGTTCAGATGTATATGGAAACTTACTGTTTGGTGAAGCTGACATTCAATCCATGGGAAGGATGGGGATTTTGCTTACACAACTTGCTGTTGTGACTGGTGGAAAGGGTTAAAGGTTTAGAAGGACAGTCTGGGGGCTGGGTGACCTGGAAGCCCAGCCGGGGGCCAACCATGGTACAAGTCTGTTTCCAGAGGACAGGGACCAGAGACATTGCTGGTCAGGAGCAACACTTAGGAAACCCCTGGCCACGAGCATCCGTCACTGCAGCTCTCCAGCCACCTGTGCATCCCACAGGGCCTGGGAGGTGGCTGTGCTGAGTTCCTGCTAAAGTATGAGCTTTGGAGGGGTGTGGCTGCCTGGAACTCCAGGTGATGTCAGCAGCTGCTTGGTTTACTTTCTCAGCTCAGCAGTTGCCTGCAGAATGTATGCAGGAAGACTTAAGCTTAGGACCATAGCACAGACCCGCACGGCTTGGGTGGGACTCTTCAGCTGGGAGGCTGTGTTTCTTCTGGACCACATATGGTATCACATGTGGCATCTGTGGCACAATTACCTTTGTTTTAATACAGCTTTGGCTGCGGATTCAGTTAAGTTCTTACACTTGTATTAGGTAACAGGTTAAAAAATCTATAAGGTTGATTCATTTTTCTGTGACCTCCATGTTTTAACAAGATCCATCCAGTCCTACCGGGGTCCTTCAGCTTTGGATTAAACATTCCGGTGCGACTGTGCCGCAGTGCCTTGCTCCTGTTTCCTAGCCAGTCTCGATTCTCTGATGCTTTTGCCTGTTGACTGTCATTAGTTAGCCCTGTTTTCTTATTCTTTGGCATGAGGGGTCCCCCTAAAATGCCGGCTGCTCAGTGGTGGTCTGCAATGGGTTCCTGGTGGATACTGGGCAAATGGTAGGGAGAGACAGTGAGAAGCCAGGATATGAAGAGTAAGTGCCCTTCCTGTTCACTTTCGTTCTCTCCAGGTTGCTCTAGGTGTGACGATGAGCCACAGCTATCACAGTGTATCATTAAATCTAAAATTGTAGCAGCCACACTCAGCAAAACATCTCTCTGCTCCCAAATTAGCCTCTCACTGCTGAGCATGACTAAGCTGAAAATTGCCTCCCGGGCTTGTAAACCACTCTGCCTACCTCCGTTTCCAAAATGCACCCTGCTGTAACACAAACCGATGACAAAGATGTTAAAGAGAGACAATTTGTTCAGAGAAAATAAAGATACATTTAATAGACTTAATCTCCTTTCCCACTCCTGCATTAGATACCGTTTCTGTGGGTTCTCTTCCAGTTTCCTTTTTCACTTTCATCCCTGTTTTGGGACTGAAGCAGTGGCGGAAGACAGGGATTCTGCACATCAGTGGCCCAGCAAGCAGTGCTTTGATGGGTAATTAAGAAGTGGTGACGTCCTAGCTGAGACTGGGCTGGAAAGGAAGCTGGAGCAGCTCCGGTCACACAGCAGACATTTACTGGATTCTGCTCTGGCCAGGCCTTTGGGGACCTATCTGGCATGCACTCAGAGACCATTGTAATTGATACACAATTCCCTGTGGATGTTTGGTGAACTGAGAACAGACCAGCAGGCACAAAGCAAAGAACCCAACCGTGGAGCTGTCCCAGGCACACCCAGCCCAGCTCTTCCGGGGCCCTGCCTATCTGGCCGTGACCAACTTGCATAAATCTCTCACTCCATTGTTCGTTGCTTTATGGTCTTTTATATGGCTTGCCAACACAATTTGGTAGCTATAATTTCTTAATATTTGGTCTCAAGGTGAAGGCTATAAATCAGTCTCCCTCAACCTGCCTTCTTCTAGTAAATCTCAGCCTTTGGCTTGAAGAATTTCCTTCTGAGCCTTGGAAGGTGTCACTTCTCCTTACACAAACAAGGGAAGCTGCTGCTTCGCCATCTTCCTGGAGGCCTAATTCTTACTCCTCAGGCATGGTTTTCCTGATCACCTTTATTGTCTTCCTGAATTTCTTACCGCAGTTCTTTTAGTTTCCATCTTTGCTGTATGGATTTTCTTTGTTCACCCATTCCAATAGTTTCTGCTTGCTTGTGCAGATCACACCACCAATGCGTTCTTAACCCTTCTCTTCCCACCCTTCTCGGTCAGTTGGTGTTCTCTTTGCCCAGGGTCTTCCTCACCTCCTTTCACTTGAGACATCATCTGCTCTCTCCTGGGCTCAGCAGGACCCCTGAGCGTCCCTACTATAAAAACATGAGCCTCTCCAGCTGCCATCAGTGTCCTTTTGTTGCATTAGAATTCTTTGAAATATCCATCCTTCCACGAAGACTTTGAGGAATACACCTCTCCCCAAGGCACTTGAGGTTGTGAGGTCTCTGGGTAGAGGTCCTGGTCTCATGTGCGACAGATCCAGCTGTCTCATGTGTGGAAGCCAAGGCCTCATGGCTTCAGTACCCACTATCCCTGGAACTTCCTTTCCAAGGTGCTGTTACGTCTGAAAGACTTCAGTGGAAATGCATGTTGTGTACAGCACCAGGTACAAAGACTTAGCAAAAGGCACAGGGACTGTAAGTATTAATAATTAAAACTATTTTTTTCTTTTCCAGGTCTGGGGATATGGCGTGATTATGGGCAGTGGTCTGGGTTCAGTGTCAATCACTAAATGGCTAAAATAAATTCTTCTCTCTGTAATATTTAACACTGGATTCTTCAGTAATGGGGAAGGACTGAAATGCGAGTGAGCAGTCATGTGGAAAAGAAAAGCCTCTGAAGTCCCTCTGTGCTCGGCCTTGCAGCAACTCTGCCTGACCATGTGACGTGCTCCTTGTGAATGGGGGACGGCTCTGGGGGCCTGGAGTGACAGGGAGGCGACGGAGTGATGCGGCCTGCAGAGAGGTCTGTCTCTCACACACACACACACACACACACACACACACACACACACACACACACACACACACTCTCTCTCTCCAGAAGCAGGGAGATAGAAACTTTGTCCTTTCCATAAAATAACACTGTTTCCCAAGGAGGACCTCAGGGGATATTTGAGAGGGACAGAATGACCAGTGGGAAGCACAGTAGATGGGCTACAAATGCCATGGGAGCAACATTCTCTACAGGGAAGTCTTAAGTACAGTCTGAAAGTGATCTGGAAGTTGATCAAGGAGGAGCTGGGTGGTGAACCGAGTCTTGTAAGGCAGGAGAGGAAAAACAGATGAAGTTGAGAAAATGTGCTTCTTAAGGTGAGTAGAGTTAAAGACACCCGGGCACCTGTTTAAAAGGCAAGCTCCCAGGCCCTGCCCTGTGGATTGAAGGAGAAGGTGTGAAGTCATCCCAGAAATCAAAAGTTCACTAAATCTCAGGATCCAGTGTTGAGATGGCTTTCAATCTGCCTGCATCACTAAACCACAGAGGTCAGCTTCAGCTGACTTGTTTTAGTCGAAATACTTGAATTAGAGCAAGATATGTAAATTTGAGTATCTCCGGGGATCTAGGCTGGTACAGGCAAGGAGAGAAATTGATGGAATAAAAGTCAAATGGAAAACTGTACCTTCCAATTCCTAATGAGACAGTGGCCAATAGTCCCTGCAATTCTTGCCCTGCAGGAATATGTGCTTTGGTCCCTGAGTTTTCTATTTCCAATAGAAGGCTGACCTCTGGCTCCTCATATTGCTAAATGGTAGATTAAAATGCCATAAGCATCAAATGATTCCATGAGCTGGCAAGGTCAAAGGGGAAAATAAAAACTTAAGTATTTATATTTGAATGATAGACTAAAATTATATTTTGTCTGGTAGCCAAAAAAAAAAAAAAAAAAAAAAAAAAAAAAAAAAAAACACCCAGAAATCTTTGCAGCAAAGAAGGGGTGTGAAGCAAAGAAGATTGAGGGGGCTGTTATAAACCCTCGGGACAGATCAGAGAAGGGGTTGTAGGAAGGAGGTCCCAGGAGGGTTTTCCATTTGTGCAATGGGGAATGAGAAGAGAGGAAGAAGTAATTCAGGAAGCAGGAACTTATAAGATCTGATTGGCCTTAGAAAGAAGCGGGAACAAGGAATCCTCCATGTCCTTCCATGCGTAAATATATACTACCCCAAACACCCTTTCCTTTTAAGATGCACATATGTCTTGGCTTGATTCATTTCACAGAAATCATAATTTCGGTTGTATTTGGACTAACGCCTGCTTAATAATTTAGAAAAAAAATCACTTTTTTAGGGGAAGAAAAAGCAAAGACAAAATGTTTTATAGTATCTATAATAAATGCAAAGAAATTAATACAAACAAAACTTGGCTTTAGCAAACTGTACATTACATAAATATCTTTTTTATACTATAACATTCAACTTCTTTTTCACATAAAGCTTTCCTTAATTTTATTTATTACATCTAGTCTTTCTTTATATCTTTAAAAAAAAGTGCCTTTTAGATTTACAGCTTGTGCTTCTAAAGCGAAGGTTAGAACATCATGCCCAAAAGGAGACAAAAAAAAAAGTACAAAGAAAGTTGCTATATAAGCTCTTAAAAATTGTATATTACAAGGTTCTAAAATCTCTTCAGCACTGATTGGTTGATAGATTGTATTACACTAACATGGCGCACGGGAGGACTGCTTCTTGGGTGGATGGAGCAGCACCGTGGGAAAGCTGCCCCGACCGTCCACTCAAGTCCTTGGCTATGTGTCGATGGGCCAAAGACCCAGAATTCACAAGTCCAGGGTAACTTTGGGTGTCCTTACCCACTCTCTTTAGGCTCAGACTCTCAAACAAAATTTCTTTCAGACCTTCTGTTAGTCCTTCTCCTCTCTCTGTGTTTCATCCACGTCAGAAACAGTGACTTGCATTCCGGGATATAGAGGAGAGAGAAAGCTGCCTCACCAAGGGCTTCTGCCTCTTTTAAGATGCACATATGTCTTGGCTTGATTCATTTCACAGAAATCATAATTTCTGCCTCTTTGATCATTTGGGGCTGCTTCTGGGCCCCTGCTCCTCATGCTACCAGCACTTTGGCAGATGGCATCTGCTTGGTTCAGAGTGGAGGAGGACCATTTGTGTATCTGAGCATGGGGTGGAATGATCGGGCAAAGTTGTTGGAGAGAGCACAACTGTAGTCTTCTTCCGACATCGGCACAAGGCAGGCGAGCCCGATGAGAAGCAGCAGGAGAAGCTGAAGGGGGAGAGCTGCCCGGAGGACTCGGTATAGGAAGGCTCGGCCCGACCGAGCCGGTCGCAGCTCAGAAGGGGAGGAATCGGAGCCACCTTTTGTGGACCTGAGAAAATAAGTGACAAAAATAACTCAAGTAATTCAAATACTGATGAGATGTTGCTTTTTGCTTCTGTACCTTCCTGGAAGCCAAAGGGCCATGCAAAACACAACCAAACTTGGCAGTGAGCTTCCGGTCTTCTTCAGTATGACCAAGTCACCCCACCCCTCAACCAAAGAAAGAGCTGTTGGAAACAGCACTGATAGAAAAATACATCTAGCCAGTCAGCCGAAGGTGAGCAATTGGCCTCAAAGTCCACTCTTTCTTCCCTTAATTTGCTATAACCTTTTCCATCAACAAACGTAACTGATCTGCACATTTCACTAGCATAAAATTAATCAGTTCTAGGCTAATTAAAATGTAGATGCTCGATGCAGTTCATTTTAAAGACTATCAGGAACACTGTTGGGCAAAATGTGTTGTCAGAATTCTACCAAGCATCCTGTCTAGCATCCTGGATATGCCCAAATCCATGCAGCAAGGATAGAAACAGCCCTAGTCATTTTGCACAGACCCACGAGAGCTTACTTAATCTTAGCTCATACCCTGGTTTCATGTTGCACTGGGCCAGCGTCTGACCCTGACATTAGTGGACTCCAAAGCTGTATAAGCAAGAACAGCAAAGGAGTCCATCTACAGAACACTTGGTGGATGGAGATTCTAGGCTGGCCCTGTCACTCACTAATCTGTGGTTTTGGGAAACTAACACTACTTGTCTGAAGAGGAAAGACTGTCACCTTGAAGGTTCCTTCTAGACTCAAAATTCCCAATTTTCCTACCTCACTTTTATTGTTCTTTTAAGCTGTACATTAGAGATTAAAGAAACTGTCAGTATTCATAAGAAAGGCCTGAGAAATATTGAAAATTGAAGTAGGTTCTGTGATGGGTGCTAGTGATTTCTTTTGGAAAGAGCCATTAGCTTTTTTTTTTGAAAAAGATGAAGACAGAAACCTTACTCACAAGTGGTAATAGACCTGCATAACATTACATAAGTAAAAAGAATAGCTATACCGAGGGGACACATTCCTGCACACCTGGTATGAATTTCTTAATGGTTTTAATGTCTTCATGTCACTAGGGGAAAGGACACGGAATGTGAGATATGGGGAAAATATGATCATATAAAAACTATACTGATAACTCTATAGGTTTGGTTCCTGAGAAAACTCTAGTGTTTGTATCTGCCTTATTAGCTATTAATTGCTGAAGACAGGTTACTCTGGTATCAGTGGGGGGCTGTAGTGTAGTTGCTGAGAAAATATAATCCCCTTTTAAAGGGAAAAAGAGGGCCTATTTAAAACTCTTTCATTAAACCTTCAAGAAACAAGACAAATCAGTTCTCCAGAAGGCTCAGCCCCATACTACATGGTGCTTCTAGCACAGTTGTTGGAGTGTAAAGAAAAAGCAAAAACAAAATCACTGCCCTTAAATTAGAACCATAGTGCTTTACCTGAGGTCCACACCAGTGTAATCTTGAACAACTCACTTCAGTTCTATGTGCCAACTTCCTTACTGACCTCTTCAAATTAGGCAAGATGGTCCTCTGACTTCTCAGTCTCACCTTTTACATGATTTCTGACTTAAAGTAATTTGTCCATGTAAACAGTCTCACAAGAGGGGTCCCAAAGATTCAGTCACCACCTAGTGGCCAAATTGCTTAACTGCCCTAGTGCTAAGCCCAGTGAATTATTCCTAATGAGCTGAATGGGGGATGTATATTTTGTGGAAATATGATGAACTGTAAAAGAGATACATTGTACCTTGCTAATGGAAGGGGAAAACAGAAACTTCTCCAGTTATTTAATTATAAAATATTCATGTTGAGATGGGGCCTTCGAGCAATCTAATCCACCTCCTAATTTTGTAGCTAAGTAGCTAAGGACAGTTAACATTTATTCTTCAGATTGCTAGGCAACGCTCTCAGCATTTATCTTGGGTTCTCTCATTTAATCCCCACAACAGACCTCTGAGCTGTGTGCTTATTAGCTTCACTTCATACAAGATGAAAAAGAGGCTCCGAGAATCAAGGAACTGGCTCCGGTTTCCCTGCCTAGCAAGTGGTAGATATAAAATTTCAACCCTGGGACTTTAGCGATTAGAATATGGGATTTATTGAGAGCTAAATGATTTGCCTCAAATCCCACAAATAGAGGAAGAGTTCTATCTACAACTCAGACCTCCAAAAATCCTGATGGCACACCATACTTGACCTTCCCATGATCTTCTGGTTGGTGATACGAATGAGATGCCATGCTGGTCATACTGATGTCATAGGTATTTTACATGTAGGAACAAAGAAGAGAATACGTGCATCCTTAAATATTGGAAGTGGCTTTCTTGTGTCTAAAATAAATGCCTCCAGCCATAAAGCCTTGCAGTATCACAATGATCATCAATTCATTGTGTCAGACACGAGGACATCTTGTTTTCAGGCCATCACAGTCATGGGAACTGCATTAATCTCTCTGGCCTTCTGTTTTATTTGCAAAGAAGAAGGATGCCTTAAGATCCTAAAATCATTTTTGCTTTCACAGTTTATGATTCAATGATTTGCTTCAATGAAATGAGATGGGTGGGATAGGCTACCTACAAACTGTAGACTGAGGTTTTCTTTAGTATATCCTTCCCTGGAAGTGAAAATACGCCTTGGTAAGCAACACTCACCA